ATGGCTCGGGCTGCACGCCGCAGTGGGTACTGGAATGTACCATCATATGCATTGCATTGCATTCATGTATTTGTATTTATACTGGTGTTTAGCTGCTCAGTTCCATATGTTGCTGTATATTCGGATTGTAGCTTACTTTGTGTATTTACTGGATTTTCTTATCTTCGGACTGTAGTTACTTTTATTACTCACTGGGTCGGAGTACTCACTTTACTCCTTGCACCTTGTGTGCAGATCTAGGGCAGTCTCAGGCTCAGTAGATCTAGTTGATCAGCAGATCCAGCCTCTGGGAGTATCGAGGTAGCTGCACGGCGTTCGCAGACATTGATTTTCTCCCTCCTATCCTATCTCTTTATTTTCGCATTATCGGACTTTGGATATACCGTGTATTAGGATGATATTCTGTATTGTAGAGGCTCAGATTCATGACTCCGGGTCCTAGTGAGATTATATTGTGTATTTTGTTAAAATCTTCAGTACTTTAATCTTGCTTAATTGATATTTCTTTCCGCTATTTTTGATAAATTGGGTTAAGTGTTGAATAATGGTTGGGCTTGCCTAGTAGTGCGCTGGGCGCCATCGCGACCGGGATTTGGGTCGCGACATTTATTTTTATCTGTTACTCCCCGATAGCATGTCCCCTCCCAGCCTTACTTTGTATTATCTTGTTATTTTTTTCTTGCACTCGCTATATATATCTGTACAGGTTAATTGTGGCAGGTCCTGTCTAGCCTCGTCACTACTTCGCCGGGGATAGGCCAGACACTTACCAGCACATGGGGTTGGTTGGGCTGATGCTACACTCTGTGCATTTTGTGCACAGAGCATGGAGCAGCTTACGGACCGCAGCAGTAGGACTTCTGGGAGTTATCTTCAGTCTAGGGACTCTCGAGGTAGCCTAGCTGGCGTTCGCAGGCCGAAGTCCCTTTCAATGTTTCTTGTTTGTTCATATTGTACCAGACAAACATGATGTATTTCCTTTCAGACATTGTTTGTAGTATTCTGTAGTAGTCTGTGAGCTAGTGACACCAGACCTTGGGTAGTGATGTGTATTAATCTTCCGCACTTTTGGTTTTTTTCCAGTTGCTTTAGATTTAAAGTCTTCCGCTTAAATTTTGTCTCGTTTATTATATTGTTTTGAAAGAAAGCAGGAAAGGTGGTTTAAATATTTGGCTTGCCTAGCTCCGATAGTAGGCGCCATCACGACACCCGATGGTGGGAAATCTGGGTCATGACAAGAGTTTAATAAACTCTAAGATATTTCATAAAGGAGATTCATCAGTAGGTCCGTCTATATATCTAGATGATATTCCAGAATATAAAAATTGATCAGATGGACAAAAATTTCTCCGTTTTTAACTGATTTATATCATACAGATCATATCTGTTATTTAGAAAAAATTGATCAGATATACTTCTTCATTGAATTCTCTATTCCGTGGATTCATAAATAGACGCCCGAATTGGGGTTTACTGAAGAACAAATCCCTTGCTTATATAGGGCCTTTTACAATAATTTGTGGGATAAGTTAATGAAGAATGATCCCAAAACAAAATTGTTATACGGTCAAGAATTATTGGATTCCATTAAAGTACAATCCAGTTATACGCGACCACTCCCCAAAAGAAAATATTTGATGATAGCTCAGTCAAGCATATTGCAAGGAGAATCTCCATTCAAGATGGAGATCAAAATGATTTAATAAACCAATATCTGGAAGAAGTGAAAAGAAATTTGCTTCAAACTTTAAGCCAATGTGAAAAATCACACATCGATACAAAGTGAAACAAGCAACGATGATGTAGAGGAAGATTCTCAACCTATGATGACAGAAAGGATATTGTCTGATAAAAAAATCAAAGAAGTGAAAGATTTTCTACAAACGATGGACAAAGTAGAAGAAAGAAATAGTTGAAAATAGTGAAGCCGCCAAGGACTCCATAACAGGACCCCACTACAACAGTAGAAACACTGTATACACAGTAGATACACTGTATATATAGTAAATACACTGTATAAGGGACCCACTTTACTCTACATAGATTCCTTATGTTTATTTTTTTCTCTTCCTATAAGTAGGAGCCCTCTCTCATTCGGAGATGCATCAGAAAATTCCCCCTCTCTCTCTCTCTTGTAAAGTCTTTTAAGCTTCTTAGCTTCTTCATTTTGTAAATAAGTTGAAGGAAATAAAAGTTTCGAAGTTCAGTTCATCATCTTCAGGGCTTTGAGTCCCGGCCTTAAAGGTATTTGTTTATTTCATTTTATTATATAGTATTTAAATTACTTTGTTTCTCTCCACTGCTGTGACTATGTCCGGCTAAGCGTTTTCATATCTATCTTGAAGAACTAATTTCTCTTGCATATTAACCATGAAGAATCCATGCTCTTTCAAAATATAAAGGAATTTTAATATAGTTTCTTGGCTTGGTTCCAAGATTGTGGTACAGTCGACTCTGGTACTACTCTTATTGGTTTTGCCTTAGTGGCTACGTCTAGCCAGCTGTAACATTAAAGCCCGCTGAAGTTGTCAAAAGGGCTATCCCTTTCACAGTTAGAACTACTAGACACATGGGCTCAATAAGAGTATGTATCGGACCAAGACAGGCCCCTTGCTTGGGTAAAAGGATAGATCCTTCCATACAGTCATTAAAACTATAATAAAATTCCCGTATATTTCGAATCTTTACTGGTCGTGCGGACTACCGCCAACCTTCAAAAGTACTGAAACAGCTAGATCTGTATTGTACGGACTACCGTCCGCGCCTACCGGTCCTGGTGTAAATGGTATCCATTTAGGAATAGTCCTAAAGTTTAGGAATAGTTTAGGAATAGTTTATAGAAACTTTAGGAATAGTTTATAGGACTATTCCTAAAGTTTATCAATGGTTTTCATAAACGAATTTATGATTATGGTTGGTTTAATAAACTTTCTTCAAAACAATTGATAAAAACGACTGAACAGTCTTTGACGTTAAATTCTTCCGAACAAACTATTTGTCTGTTAAACAAACACGATATTGACTTATACAAACATCATTATCATTACTTGCATATTGGTATGGTTCAAATTGCGTTTAAACCTTTAACCCTTAAAAGGTTACCAGAGACCTTTTTGGCAGCCCTTAGAGATGCTAGAAATCTGAATTTCAGACAGTGTCTGATGGGTTCGATTGAATCTACTAAGGCCTATGGTCCAGTATATTTTAATACTCAACCCAATTTGCAACTATCTCTTTCTGATGTTAATATTCTTGATGCCTTGACTTTATATGTGAAAACGCATGGTTGTAATTATGTGCCTGGTTCTGAACTTATATGTTTATATTATAGGATATATTTTAAATTATTGTCTACTTTAAATCCTCGATGTAAGTTATACGATACATCGGATCAGACCATATTAGTAGAAATCAATTTTGCAAGGTCCAAAGTCACCACTAGGATACCTATTAGGTGGGAAGAAATTAATTTCCCAACTACTTGGACTTTAAATTCGGTTATATCCCCAAGTCAGATTACTAATGACTTGTCAAATACTGATTGTTCGCATGTTACTCAAAACCCAGATGGTAGGATTTGTATTAAATTTGATGATAAGTCTACTGTTTATAATAGACATTCGTTTTCTAATCATAGACTTTTACCTGCTCTTCAACATAATTCTCCTGTCAAGCCAGTCTATGGTCCAGCTCGAAATCGTGCAGCATCGTTACACACTATCGCTACAAAGGGGAGTAATAAGTCTGTCGAAAGGGTTAAAATTAACCCACAAACAAATATTGTTCAAGACAATGACAATATTTCTGATAAGGATATTCCTTCTATATCCGAAATGGATTTCGACCCCAATGATTCTTAATGATTCCACACCAAATTGATTTTAGCCCAGGTTCACGAGAAAGAAAATATATTCAAAAGGAATTTTTTAGTGATAAATGGAGCCAGTTTAAAACTTGGTTTTTTGATACTTATAGCAAAGAAGATTTAAACAGTATTTCTCAAGAATTTTACGAAAATTGTGCTTTGCATAATCAAATTATGTATTTTGTTCCTTGGTTTATAACAACGTATTTGCCTCTTTATATAAAGGTGTTAGAGAGATCTTATAAAGATGGGAGTGGTAATATTACTAAAGTCATTTACCCTCCTCAAGCCCCCTTTATTTTACCTAATAATATTGGTATTACCTTCACTGCTTTTCAAAAATTTGTTGACGATAATGTTGCAGCTGTTAGTATCGCAGAAATTAATAAATTGATTTCTCAAAACAATTATTTGGGTTTATATGTAAAAAATTTAGGAGAACATATCGGTTCTCTTGATAAAAAATTGGATGATTTGACTGCTTTAATAAAGAAGATGAGTACTAACAAAGGACCAACCGATATTGCCTCCACTTCGGGAATCAAACCGGTTGATCAAACAGTTCTTACTCATGTTCAAAGACCTCCTGAGGTTCAAGATTTAAATTCAAATCTCTTGATGACTTAGCAGACCTTCTTGATAAGAAACTTTCTGGTTTAAATATTAGACCAATTGATTTATCAAAAAACTTTGCTGATAAAATTGAGACTGTTTCCAATTACAAAACTGAAACGTGGTCAGAGCTTAATAAGCTCAAGGGTTTAATTAAACCCAATAGTAAGTATGCCGACAAACCCCGGATGCAAACTTACTATTATTCTCGTCCTACTCCTCAAGATGTGTTAATAGAGGAACGCAATTGGAATTAGACTAATACGTCTTACAGCGGTTCTGAAATTTATGAATGGAATATTGATGGCTTAACTGATAGACAGTAACTATTCTTGTACATAGAATGCTTATGTACTCAACTATCTGTAAAAGTGTTAAGAACACATATAGAACTATTTGCAAAATGATTACTGCAGGCTTTACTGGCCAGCTTCGTGGCTGATGGGATAACTATCTATCTATTGAAGAAAAGGCAACGGTTATTAATGCGACCACCGTTGACGAAGGGGTTGATAATATAGGCATGGTTCTTGTTAAAGGAAGAGAAGATGCTGTTTATACCCTTATCCTTACAATTGTAGAACATTTTAACGGTAGATTTACCAATCAGCATGAGACCATCCGTACATTACTAAATGGGCTTAGATGTAGGACCCTTATTGAATTTAGATGGTACAAAGATACTTTTATGAGTAGGGTTATGGAGCTACCCAAAAACAAGTATGAACATTGGAAAGCTAAGTTTATAGACAGCCTTCCCTCCTTATTTGCTGAAAGAGTAAGAAAAGCGTTAAGAGGTAGTTACGGTGAAATTTCGTATGGAAATTATACCTATGGTAAACTTATAGGAGTGTGTACACAAGAACGTTTAAACTTGTGTAATGAGCTGAACCTTTCTAGACAGCTTAAGATTGATAAGCTTAAAGAGAAATCCCAATTAGGTGACTTCTGTACCCAGTTCGGTTTACTCGGAACCTATACTCATAGTAAGAAGATGAGGAAAAACAGATATCATAGGTATACTAACCCTGATAGCCCGTATAAGAAAAAGAGGTCTAGATATAGATATAAGGAAGAGCGTGATACTAGAAAAGTGCATCGGAAATCTACTCGATTTACGAAGAATAGATCAAAGAGAGATCTCGCTGATATTAAGTGTTATAAGTGTGGAAAATTTGGGCATGTCGCTCCAAATTGCAAGATTCAAAAGCTAAAGGCCTTAGAACTAGATGATGGGTTACGTGACAAAGTTTATAACTTGTTATACACTTCCGGATCTTCTGATTATACTTATTCTGAGACTAAGTCTGAAGCGGAGATTGATCTGATAGATTCATCTGAAAGTAGTAAAGATTGGATAATACTTGCGCTGCTTGTAAAGGTGATATTTGTACTTGCGATGATGATGAGTTTTATAAATTGCAATCACAATTTCAAGATTTTAATATAAAAACTATTACATCTGACAATGTAATATAACTTTTAAAGGAAATTACTGATGAAAAAATTCGTAAAAAAATTATAAATTTGACTGAAAGTTCTAGTTCTAGTGGTTCAAAGCTTTTTGAAAGACCAAAAAACGAATTTGAATATTTTGCGCCATATTCTTTGTCTGAAGTTAATAAACGTCTTCATAAGACAAATACGCCAAGCAGAGAAACTTCGTTTGAGGATTTGAAAAACGAAATTGAGAAGTTGAAAAGAGATATTAAGTCTCTTAAACAAAATCAAATGATTTGTGATCACCGGATTACTCAAATTGAGAAAAATAATTCTCTAACTGATTTTCCAACTGGTTTTTCGGCTAAAGGAATTTATGAATTTTCAAATGAAAAGGGAAAAGAAATTTCTGATATGATTCATTCGATTAATGAAAATTCTGATATGTTTTTAGGAATGATGTAGGTTGTTACGGCTCATAAGTGGTACATAAATGTACTATCTTGATTGATAATAGTTTCTCTCTAACTGATGTAGCAATGATTGATAGTGGAGCAGATGTAAGTTGTATTCAAGAGGGTCTTGTTCCTACTAAATATTTTCAAAAGACCACTCATTTGGTAAAATCTACTTCTGGTCATGCTTTAGATATAGAGTATAAATTACAAAATACTCGTATTTGCCTAAATAGAGTCTGTATTCCTCATTTCTTCTTTTTGGTAAAAAACCAGTTATACCCTCCGATTATACTTGGAACCCCTTTTATTAATGCTATTTCCCCTTTTAATAACATAGATGCACAGGGTTTTTCTGCTACTTATCAAGATAAAGAGATAAGTTATTCTTTTGTTACAGATCCCGTAACTACAGATATTAATGCCTTGATTAATATGAAACAAAGTCATGTTGATTCATTACAATTAGAAATATTGAGCATGAATATATTCGATACTTTACAATCTACTAAGGTTCAGCAAAAGATTAAATTGATTGTTGAACAGATGGCTGTTGATGTTTGCGCAGATCACCCTAGTGCCTTTTGGAACCGAAAAAGGCATATTGTAACTCTTCCTTACGAAGAAAACTTCTCCGAGGATGATATCCCCACTAAATCTCGACCTTGCCAGATGAATGCTGAATTGGTCGAATTCTGCAAAAATAAATTGGTAGTTTGTTACAAAAGGATTTGATAAAACCCTCAAAATCTCCTTGTTCATGTTCTGCCTTTTATGTTAATAATGTTGCGGAAAAGGAATTTGGTATTCCTAGATTAGTTATAAATTATAAACCTTTGAATCAGCATCTGAAATGGATTAGATATCATATCCCCAATAAAAGAGATCTGCTATCTAGATTATATGACGCCAATATATTTTCAAAATTAAATTTAAAATCTGGATATTGGCAAATTCAAATTTTTAAAGAGCATACTTATGGAACTGCTTTTAATGTTCCATTTGGTCAATATGAATGGAACGTCATGCCTTTTGGTTTAAAAAATGCCCCTTCTGAATTTCAGAAAATTATGAATGATATTTTTAACCCTTATCTAGATTTTATAATCGTTTATATTGATGACATATTAGTATTTTCTAAAACATTAGAGATGCATATTAAGTGTGACGACCCGGCCGGTCGTCTTAAGAATTAATGCCCCGATCCCCTATTAACTGATTTCCCCAAGTTTATTTCTGCTAATGAGATTTGTCGGGATGCTCGGTTTTGAGTTTTGAGGAGTTTTGGTACACTTAGTCCCTAAATGAGAGCTTAAGTGTTAGAAAGTTGACCGAAGTCGGAACAATGGGGACATAGCCTCGGAATGGAAATCCGACGGTTCCGTTAGCTCCGTTAGGTGAATTTGGGGTTGGGAGCG